CTAGTCGCCGAGTCATGGCTCCGGCTCCGTCAACCGAGGCGGCACTGCAACGAGACCGTCCCCGAGGCCGCCCCAAGGGACCCGGCTCCGGCAAACGCGTCTCGATCCAAACGAAACGTTGGACGAACGGTCCAGCCCACTGAACCTCCACCAAAGAGACGCCGATATATTCCTGGTGCCCTGGCCGGTGGCGGACGCTTTCGTTGATGAGGACGGGGCCGAAATCCCCAACCGAATCACTTGCGCCCTCAACAACTGTGTCGCGTCCCCGAGCGTCCGCCGCGACCCAGGCGCAACCTTCCCCCGCCGTATTCCCTCGGAGAGAACGAAGCACGAGAATCAGAACTGCTGTGAATCGCGACGAACGAGATGATATGCAGTACAGCTCCGCGGCAGCTGTGGCCGCGGCCGTCGTGCAGAGCGAAGGATACAAGCCGCGCGAGGAACGCGGATGGGAAGAGTTCCACCCCAATCTTGACATTGAAGCCACCTTTATTGTTCTCCAGGCAGACGAAGTGGACGGAATCATAAAATCTATCCCACCCACCCCGGCTGCCCAGGCCTCTGCCATGAACGGGACAGGCACTCCCACCAAGGAGGCCAACCCGGGTTTGACAAACGAGGTAAACGGAACGCCAAGCGGGAAAGACAAGCAGTCTATCGGTTTAACGCTAGCAGATACGCCCACCAGGCGCCGGCTTGGCAGGCCCGCGCGGGAGTCGTTCTCGTTGTATGCCACCCGAACCCTCGACTTTGGCGCAGGCCCCAAGGTCCCCAAGGTCCTTCCCATCTCTGGCCAGACCTCCAAGGAGCGTCTCGATTTGAAGCAGCCCCAGTACCGCAAAACCAACCGGATTGCCTTATTCGAGAGCAAGACTTTCGGGCAGGCCAGATACGTCGATAAGTCGATGATGAATGTCGGATATCAAGAGAGCGACAACTTCATTCGACCGGACCGCAATCTGATCAAGGCGACGGACGCGAATATCGAAGAGGAGACAGACCAGTCCGGCGCGGCGAAGCCCGACGGCGATGCTGTCCAGCATTCGGCCGGCGCCGTGGGCCGGGTCGAGTATGACATGGACGAGCAAGACGACATGTGGCTTGAGAAGTTGAACGGCCAGCGCAAGTCCACCGATCTTGACCCGATAACCCGCGAAATATTCGAGATCGCGATAACGAAAATTGAAAAGGAGTGGCATGCGCTCGAGAAAAGGATACCAAAACCGAACCCCAAGCCGCCGCAGACCCACAGGCCTCGGTCGAGCTCGGCAGCCGCGGTCAACGGTGAGCCACAGGCAGGCGAGGAGCAGGATAGTAAATGCGCCATTTGCGATGATGGCGATTGCGAGAACACGAACGCGATCGTGTTCTGCGACGGTTGCGACCTTGCTGTCCACCAGGAGTGCTACGGCGTTCCTTTTATCCCCGAGGGACAGTGGTTGTGTCGCAAATGCCAGCTTATTGGGCGTGGCATTCCGGTAAGTGCTTGAAACGTCTTTTAGGCCCTAATGTCGATGTCAGTCAGGTGTGGGTGATGCTAACGAAAGATCGTAGACCTGCATTTTCTGTCCCAATACCGATGGCGCGTTCAAGCAAACGAACTCCTCAAAATGGGCGCATCTGTTGTGCGCCATGTGGATCCCCGAGGTCTCTCTCGGAAATCACACCTTTATGGAGCCTGTCATGGAGGTCGAAAAAGTGCCCAAGACGCGGTGGAGGTTGACGTGCTACATCTGTAGCCAGCGGATGGGAGCCTGCATCCAGTGTTCTAACAAAAGCTGTTATCAGGCCTTCCATGTGACCTGTGCCCGCCGGTGCCGTCTCTTCCTTAAGATGAAGAATAGCCAGGGGGCGCTTGCGGTGCTTGATGGCACTCTTCCGCTGAAGGCCTTTTGCGATAAGCACTGCCCGCCAGATTACGCCGAGGAGAACGGCGTCGCCCAGGCGACTAAGGAAGCTAAGCGCTTCTATAAACGCACCATGAAGGGCCGTCTCTGGGCCGATAGCCAGGCTTCGGCCTTACAACTGGCCGCAACGCACCGCAACGCTATGACCGAACGACCACCTGACGAATCCCAAATCACTGGAGCAAAGGTCTCGGCTGTGCTCGCCGATAAGAAGAAGGGTCAACCACCCAAAAACATCTGGAAATTACCGTCCGGTGCGCCTATTATTCCACAGGCCGTTTTCGACCTAGTTGAAAGCGCACTCGCCAGGTTTCCCATTAGGAAACGCAAGGACTTTGTGAGCGAAGCCTGCAAATACTGGACGCTCAAGCGCGAGGCACGCCGCGGCGCCGCCTTGCTCAAGCGACTACAGCTGCAGATGGAGACGTTTTCATCCATGGAATTGACACGCCGCAACTTCGCAGCCATGGGGCCCTCCGGCAAGGCACGGCTTGACAGGAGAGTCGAGTTTTGTGGAAACCTTGTCGACGAGCTTGCCAAGCTCAAGGATCTGTGCCACCTGATCGAAGAACGCGAGAGACTAAAACTTGAGGCGGCCGAGCTCGAAATGGAGATGATCAACACCTGCTATTTTCCGATCTACAACCAACTGCACCCAATCCTCGAAAAGGCATTTTGGTGAGTCGTCTCCGGGAGTGCCGGTTATCTTGAACGTAGCTAACGTGTTTAGCCTGGATAAAAACGTTTTCAAGGAAGCCTTTCAGGAGCTGCAAGAGAAGATGGACCGGCGCTACTATGTGACGACCTTACCGTTTACCCAAGAGCTCTGCCAGGCTATTAGTGCCGGCATCGAAAAAGGCCCGACCTCGTCAGCTCCAGATTCCGAGCCTGTCGAGGCCTCGCCATCTAAACATCACAATTATGCAGAGGTTGGCGCCCGGAGGCGCTTGGGCAAGCGGATCCTCAAATTGCTGCAGCCGTTCCTCGAGGCAGCCCTGAAGGCCGAGGCTGAGATCCTCGACCGGCCCATATGACGTGCTTCACAGGGAGCTCGAAGGTATGCTCGAGGCGAGCATCCAGGTGCGGCGACAGCCCATTGCCAGCATCACGGTGTCCAGCGACGAAGACACGGCAGCCGGCCAAAGCCAGGATGTGGACATGGCCGACGCCCCGGTCGAGGGCCAGATCATAGTCGCCGACCACAGCGAAGGCGAGGCGGACGCTGAAGGCGAGCCTGATGACCTCTTAAATGGCGCCGGAACCCGGAAGAAAGATTAATATAGAGCGTGCGGCGGCTACCACGAGCCACGACGAACACGATGGGCCGATTTCGAAACCCAAACAGTCTACCTCTCCGCCGCCCACTCCGTTGACCGGCGAGCCCCACAAAGAATCTACCCCCCACCTCACCAATGGCTTCACCACCATAACACTCCAACTCCCCGCCCTCCCTACCAGATGCCGGTTATTCCCACCAACATGCCGGGACAGCCACAAACAACCCCCAACACGCTCACACCACCGCGTTCCAACACCGGGCTCCGCGGCCTCCTTTCATTGTTCAAACTCTACCCGCAGCAACCAAACCCGCCGTCAGCACCGCAGACGCTGACGGGGCCTCATCCCACAACCCCAACCACAGCCACTACACCAACACCACTGCCACCACAACCAGCAATTTCCTCACCCAGGGGCGGCATCCCTTGGGTACCTTTGACGGTTCTCGAACTACGCGGCACCAGCGCCGCCCAGGTGGCAGTGGACCCCCGGGCGCGACGCCCTGCGCGGCCTGAGCGAGGAGCTGACCGACATAAACGAAGAGGCCCTGCGGGATCTGGAGTTTGATGTCGATGACGAAATGACCATCACTATCGCTGGTGATGGGGACGGGGGAAAGGATGGCGTGCCCTCTCTGGGTGACGGTGACGGTGACGGTGGCGGCGGTGGCGTGGGCTTGGGCTTGGGCTTGGGCCTTGACGGGGGCCATGGGGGGTTGGTTAATGGCGCTGTTGCCGGTGGTGGTGGTACTGCTGCGACTGCGACTGTTGCAGGTGTGGGCGCGAAGTGTGAATGCGAGAAAAGCCGGTGGGAATGGCAGCAGTGGCAGCTGCGGCAAACGACAGTCCGAGGAAAAGGACTAGGAAGTGAGGTTGCTGCTGCGGCTGTCGCGGGGGGGAGGTTCCTGCGCAAGGCCGTGAGGAGCTCGGCGAGAAAGAAGTGATTGCGCTTCTTGCTGGTGGGGGAGGGTCGCGGTGTATGAGTATTGTGGCTGGGTTTCTTTCTAGGCCCCCCCCTGAAATTCTGGTGGGGTGGGGGGGGGGGGGGGGGGATGCTTATGCTTTACGTTGCTTTTCCCCCCTTCTTTCCAGGGGGATACTGCTTAAAGCGGAAGCGGGTTTGTTGGTTTTTTTTTCTTTTACCACGCCCGCGTTAACCTCGTCACCATTTGGTTGACATGACTTTCCTTCGCCTTCTCTGTTCACCTTCTCTATCGTTGGGTCTTGAGTCGGCACGCCCCCCGGACAACCCAAGCCGGCAGGAAAGGTTACAAGGAGGAATGAGCCGGCCTTTAGGGGCATGGCCATGGGCTTTTCTTCGCTTTTTTCATCTTCGTCGACGTTACAGTTCCCTGCGCACTGATTTATCGATTCCCCTTTCCGTAACTTTTCGTGTCGAGCATTTCTTCTTTTACCGCTTCGACTTTGGCTTTTTTTCCAAGACAGAGAGGCGGATCCAGCAATAGGGATGGGTGGGTGGATGGATGGATGGAAGGATGGATGGGTGGATGCGAAACAGGTCTATTATGGAGGGCCGGGCGGAGGGATACGTCTTCATTCTAGTTGTCGGGTTTATAATTGCTGTACGGAGTCAACCGGGGGCGTCGGGAGGCGAGGAATTATCACATCTATCGAGACAGGGAGTCACGGAGGAGCATACTGCTAGCTGGCTTAGGTTTGTGATTGGTAGGGGTTGGTAGCGCGAGTGTCAGATATATCTCTGTCGGAATACCTCATGAGCTGGTGCTGAACCAGCTAAAAGTTACAGCCTCGAGTTTTACCTAATGGCATGCTTGACCCCCAGTACCCTGTAGGATATAGTCGAAGTAATGCGCCAGCTAACACTGCTGGCCCAAGACCTGCCTATGGTGAAAGAGTTGTACTTCAACACCACACGCACACCACCAACGTAGGTGACGTGATGTACCCGTTGTGATATATTAATATTTTGATGAGGTGTCTTGGCATATCACATTCGTGTAAATCTACCGCGGACAGAAGTGTTAGAAGTCTCCTGCTCAGTAGGGACGTGAAGAGAAAGCAGGGAAGTCCTGGCGATAAAGGATGAATCTAGAAAGTATAAAACTTGATAACCCGCCAATCCCAAAAACAAACGTGGGAGAGACGAGGTGCTGAGGGGGTGTGCTTTTTTATCTTTTTCCTTTTCAAGAGTACCCTACCACTCTCACGATGCCCCCATAAGTGTGAAGCATACCTAGTAATCCCACTACTTCAACTTGGTAGAGGTGCCATAGGTACTTGACCATGGCCGATTAATGACCCACAACACACGATCCATGAGCGGGCATGAACCTCTCACTTGTAATAACTACCCAAAGGAGCGTTGTGTTGGGTAACGTCTGTTTCTTGATAGGGCCAGCCGCCTACGCCATATCCATACTCGAGATTGCTAGAGGGAGAAGACGACACTAACCCAGTAAAGCAAACACTTCCCATTATATACACAGCATATTCCGGGCGCAATTTGTCCAAGTTTCACTTCAGTCACCATTGCCGCCGGCCCATCATATGAACATGTGTCCAACGGTAGTATTGCATTGCCGCGTTGTACATGGAGCCGCAGCTTCAATTTTAGTTGATTATGGGAGGGTATCCCGTGAGGATGTCGGGTAAACTGTTGGTCCTTGGTAAGCCCGAGCCCTGTGATCAACCGCCGCCATGAAGGTTGGCTCGGAATGTGATTCGGGGTTTCCCGTACTGGGGTCGATTCCAGGTCAGCGTCCAACCAGCAACAGTTGGGGAACGTTTGATGACAACATGAGGAGGGGCAACACAGTTGCCCCGCTTGGCAGCCTAGCTGCCCAGATAAGATAACCGCCAACCAAGACCCCGTGATCCTCGAGAAGTCAAGGCAGAGAGGCGAGTCGACAACGAGCAACACCTCGAGCCTTGGTTCCACCCCATCGCGCCAAGTCTCTAGCATGCTCGGGTACATCGACAGTGCAGCATGCAGGCTGCGGTAATCTCGATCGGTCGTTGAGTGAAACCTCGGTCAAGCCAGAACGGAGACTTGCGAGAGCCAAAGTGAAGTCGACTCTCCTCGGGCGGGGATTGGATCAAGGGATGCCACGCTGTCGGGCGAATCAAACGCCATCCCACCGCGAGGTGAGCGGCAAGTTGCCCAAGGCCCTCCAACTTGACACTCCCACCACACCATCAAGGATCGGCCCCCCTAGGGGCGCAGCCCAGATCCGGCGCCAAGCAGGCGCGCGGGAGGGAGGAGGTTTGGCAAAGTCAGGCTCGGCATTCCCCGCCGGAATCGACATTGGATACATCATAAGTTCATCACCAACTCGTGTTTCGTCATAGTATCGGCATGAAATGTGACTATCTCGGCATCTATTCGATCAGTACACAGTACGTATGTACCTCGCCGACCGTCTGCGGGTGAAAGTGGACCGGACACGAGCTCTCTCGATCGGGCTGCGCCTCAGAACCAGCGCAAAAGAGAGTTTCGCCCGTGCCCGGCCGAGGCTGACAGAAGCTGAATCAAATCTGTTCCTGAGCCGTGGTCAGAGCGCCATGAGAGCGGCACAACGGGGCGTTGGGCAGCTGTGGTTGGCGATCGCAATCAGGGACGGGGACCCAAAGAAGGGCCCTGCCAGCTCTTCAAAGCAATTTGGATCTTGGATCTTGAATCGACAACTCGATCTCTTCGTTATGGCGGGTTTGTCAAGACTGCAGCTGCAACGTACTGTGTAAAGAAAGCGACGTTTTAAATGCGATTGCCAAGGACAGGGAGGGCGGCGAGGGGTTGAGCCCCACCTTGACAGGCCAATCCGCGCTAAAAGCCTGGGTTTGGAGGGGAGCACTAACAGATTCTGGTGTTAGTTGTGCTGGTGATTGATAACGGCGACGCGTTCCAGACCCCCGGCCCAGCGTGGGTTCGCATGCAATTTTTCGTGGAGAGCGGGCCTGTCCCAGCCAGTGAGTGGTGCCTTCCCGACACTGAGAACATAGCCCTGTGAAGCGCCCCTGCTCATTTACCTGGACCTCCCGGTTGTGCCGTGGTCTCCTCCAAAACCCGGACTGTCCAGCGACCGAACAGCAATTTTTCTGGCGTTCCATCCTGAACAGAGCGATTTCGTTCACCGGCGAAAACCAATACACACAAGGCGATAAAGTCCTAACATAGGCACAATACAAGTCGAGATTTCACCCTCGTGAATAAAAGACAACACCCGCGAATTCCTGCCAACGGCGCGATTTGCATCCACCATTTCCTGCCTTGTCTTCCCGACCGTGGCAACCAACCCAACAACAAGACCAACAAACTCCCTCCCTTCATCGACGACCGGCCTTGTTGCCATCCTAGCGACGCGCGCCCAAAGAGCGATTCAAGCACGGCACTTGCACTGCTGACACCTAGCAATCCGTTATCGCGACGAGATCTGTGCTCTTTTTTGCAGACGCACCATCGGCTGCCTGTCGCATCTTGCTGCACTTGCCTACAATCACCTTCAAACCCCAGCGACGAGGATACCAAGCGCCATCCAACAATCATCAAACATAATTTGTATAGGAGAAAGCAAATCGCCACACTGCGAACCGCTGACGAAGACGAAGAAGGGGCATTTTCCCCTTGATCCCACAAGACAAACCACTCGTTATTGCGATCATTTGTGACCACCCGACCAAGGTAAGCCCATGCCTCACCTCTGATATGCACCATTGCTTTGCGATTACGTCGCGAAATGGCAGCCCCAGACCCTCGCGTCCATGAGCACATCAAACCCCGATTATTGTTTCTCGAGTATCGCGCTGACTTATTTACCCCTCCTTGCCTACAGTGCTAAGAGTGTATCATTCCTCAATTACTCTTCGCGCCTGTGTTTTCTTCCCGAGTTTTTTTTTTCTTCTCTCTTGGGTTGGCCTGGGGTTCCACCGGTCACCACCAACATTTTACTTTCGTGCGCGCCATAATTTCGACTCAGAGAGTCGAGGGATCTTACAATGGCGGACCAACACGACGTCGATCTCGACTCTATAATTGACCGCCTCTTGGAGGTGCGGGGCAGCCGCCCAGGCAAGCAAGTTCAGCTGCTCGAGGCCGAGATTCGTTATCTCTGTACCAAAGCCCGCGAGATCTTTATCTCTCAGCCCATCTTGCTCGAGCTCGAGGCTCCCATCAAGGTGAGACAAAATCGTCCTCCCCAACTGACTCACGCGGTCCTCGCGTGACCTCTTTCCCCCTTGATTTTCATAGCTGATATCCTCTCCCCCAGATTTGCGGCGATATCCATGGGCAATATTATGACTTGCTCCGCTTGTTCGAGTACGGCGGTTTCCCGCCAGAGGCCAACTATCTCTTCCTTGGCGACTACGTAGATCGTGGCAAGCAGTCGCTCGAGACCATCTGCCTGCTTCTCGCCTACAAGATCAAGTACCCCGAGAACTTTTTCATCCTGCGGGGCAACCACGAGTGCGCCTCCATCAACCGTATCTACGGCTTCTACGACGAGTGCAAGCGTCGGTACAACATCAAGCTGTGGAAGACATTCACCGACTGCTTTAACTGCTTGCCTATCGCTGCCATCATCGACGAGAAGATCTTCACTATGCACGGTGGCCTGAGCCCCGATCTGAACTCGATGGAGCAGATCCGCCGTGTGATGCGGCCGACCGATGTAGGTGGATCAGGTGTTGCAGGATAATCCCGTCCCGAGTCGCTAACGTCCCATCCCCAGATCCCCGATTGCGGTCTCCTCTGCGATCTTCTGTGGTCTGACCCTGACAAGGACATCACTGGCTGGTCCGAGAACGACCGTGGTGTTTCCTTCACCTTCGGTCCTGATGTCGTCTCTCGTTTTCTCCAGAAACACGACATGGACCTCATCTGCCGTGCCCACCAGGTTGTCGAGGATGGCTACGAGTTCTTCTCCAAGCGGCAGCTCGTCACCCTGTTTAGCGCCCCTAATTACTGCGGCGAATTTGACAATGCCGGTGCCATGATGAGCGTGGACGAAAGCTTGCTCTGTTCGTTCCAGGTTCGTACTCTTCGTCTCTGCCTGATTGTATCAAGTCGAACTAACAACTTTGGTCCAGATTCTCAAACCCGCAGAGAAGAAACAAAAGTACGTCCACGGCCTCGGGGGCAGTAGCCGGCCCACCACTCCCCGGAAGTCCAAGTAAATAAGGGTTTATGCGAACTTTTCTCTTCCTTTTAGGTTCGGGCGCGGCCGGTAAATTTGCCGTTTGCGACACACCATCATGGCAAGCGGAACTAACTGCCTTCATCTCGTCAACTCATCTACTGCCTCCCATTTTTTGATCGTCAAGGGGCCACCACAGCCTCATCATCCGTTTTTCGGCCACTCCTCCCCGCCTCGCGCCGGACCTTGGCCACCTACATCGCCATCGTCGTCGCCGGGCGAAACAATGTCTGTCTAGTACTGTCACGAACGGAAAAGCTGTCGGGACAATGTGATCTTCTGGAAGGGAAACGAATAACGACTCTCCTCGTTTTGTCACTCCTAACGAAGGCAACATCCGGGAATGTATAGATAACGCGGCGGGGTGCTGCGGTAATGGCGAACGGGCGGTGGGTTTTTGGGGATGTAGAGCCATATCAGGGGGGACGGGTTACGTTTCTCCTCTGACGGCGCTGCTGCCTACTCCGTATCTTACATCTATGCTAGGGTCGTTGTTCGCTTCCTTGGGCCAGTTTGTCTTCAGCTTTCGCCCAGCTTGGCCCGATTCGGCTGGGCTGGAGATGTGTCAGGGACCTGTTGGAGCGGCCTGTACAATTCATCAGCAATCTTCTCGTCTGCGTGACTGTCTACTTACGCGCCTCTCTTGCGTCCCAGGTACGAGTGATTGTTGGTTGTCGCTATTTGTCTCTGAATAGCTCTTGCGCAAAGAGGCCAAGTCACTTCAGCGTACGTGCCGCTTCCGTTCCCAGGGGTGGTGAGTCGCATGACCCGTGTCCCTTGGTCTATCAGCCACGGGCAACGCTGGCTCCGGAACACTGACGACGCGGAATGAAGCGGGGGGCGGGGGGCGGGGATGGAAGTACTCTCTCTCTGAGTGTGGACACTCGAGAGTCGGGGGAGCTGCCTTGCCTTGCTTGGCGAAACGGAGAGAGCCCCAATGTTTGCGTGGCGACTGTTGGTATCTATGCTGTCGGTCGGTGGTCACATGGCCCACGGCTGTTTTGCCTTCCGGTTGACTCTAGATCGGTGTGAGCGTATCTCGTTGCCTCGTTGCTTCTCGAGCGTTGGGGGGCGGGTGGTGGTCTCTCCCCTGAGGGGTCAGGGGGTGGCGAAGTGGGTGCTGAGAAGACGGTTGGCGGTGGTGGGGAGTGTGGTGGCGAGTGATGTTGGTGGTGAGGGGTTTGTGAGTGAGGGATATGGGGGATGGGTGTAGTTGTGTGGTTTAGTGCAGATATCATGGGCTGGGGGCATTATGCATGCACGGCTTTGGTGTCATGTTGTGGTGATCACCCCCTTTTTCATTGTTTTGCGTTCTTCGTTGTTTTGCTTCTGGCTCGTTGATTTTCTCTGGTGTTTCGTCCTTTGTTTTTACACAGTAGGCTTAGCGGACGTTGGTACCCTGATCTTCTTGCTTTTCCGTCTCGAGGAGATGTTTCAAGTAGATCTCAGCTATCTTTGCCTCTTCTTGGCCAATCATAGACGAGAGAGCTCCCAAACTACACCCACGACCCTCATCCATCATCGCAAACCCGCCGGCATCCCTTCCTCACATCCAAGCCTCTCACTGACAGTCCTCACACCCCGCACCCCCTTCAACACCACAAACCTTCCCCGTCTGCTCCTCACCCGCCCCCTCCTCCTTCTTCACCTCCTTCTTCACCTCCTTCTTCGCCTCCCCATCCCCGCCCTCCCCCTGATCCTGCCCCTGTCCCTGCCCATGATTCCCACGCCCATAATCCCGATCAACATGGCCCAGATCTCTCCCCGGCTGGATGACATCCCTCACCCGCCGCTTCAGCTCCTTGACCTCGGGGAACCCCCCGTCCACCTTACGGTCCCACAGCACGGCCTTTGTCAGGCGGGCAGGCGTTGACGCTGCCGTAGCCGCATCCGTAGCCGTAGTGGGCTGCTCGGCGGCAGCGGCAGCGGTAACAATCTCGACGACAAAGACGCCGCCTGTGGCGGGCTGCAGGGCGACCTCGCCGAGGGAGACGGAGAAGGTGGAGAGGAGCTCTTGGGCATACTGGGATGGTGGGTTGGTTGGTTAGACGGGTTGTTTTGGGCGTTGGAGGGTGTGTGTAGGGGTCATGCCGTGACGGGCGCGGGGTGGGTGGGTATGGGTGGGGAGGAAGGGAGGAGAATGAGGGAGTAAGGGAGTAAGGGGGTGGGCTTTGTATGGGGAGAGGGTGGATGATACGGAGGGGTCTAGCTGATGATCGGGGAAGGGAGCGGAAAACTTACATATGCCGCTCGAAGCATCCATTTACATTGGGTGCAGAACTGGATGGTGACTCGCGGGAGTCTTGGCTGGGAGGACTGTGGAGTGGTCTCGACCATTGTTATCGAGAAAAGGAACGATCCGTGAGTTGGTGAGCTGTTTTCCTGACTAAGGCCTCGCTGTTTGTTTCATGCGGTATTTGGATGACGTTGAACTGGGGTTGGAAGCAAAGAGAAATGGCGCTGATAACGGCCAATTGAGCGAAAACCCGGGTGTGGTGTCATGTGGCAAACCGGGGAGACGTCTGGAACCCACCCAAATCCGATCTTCTTATCTGTACTCTACGTAGTTGATGTGTGCTGCTAGAGATGGAGATGGCCTGTATTGAGTCGTTTCACGATCCTTTGTCTGTCCAAAAGAGGTAGCAAAAAACGATAGAGGCACAATGCTTAGTGGAAGTCCTGTCTCATTCGCCAATCCTCATCTCATCAATCCATTGGGAAACCTGGAACCTATATACATTGAAAAAAGGAAAATCGCAGGGCAAGGAGGAGCCAAGCCAAACCGAGCACGGGGTAAAACAAGACAGATGACAAGAAATAATGAAGGAACTAAGGTATTACACGCTGAAGAGCTGCGTAGCCAGCCTGCGATCCGCTCAGAAGAGAAGGGGTATGAGTGGTAGCGTTATCGTAGGAGGCCGTGCCGTCGTCCCGTCCGTTCCTGGCCGCTCCTCCTTGCCCTAGCGAATCCGGGGATTTGTTTTCGTACCGGCAATGGGGGGTGGTGTTGGATAATCCGTGTTTCCTCCTTCGGTAATCCATTCCCCCGCCCATCATTCGTGACCCGGTGCCAAATTATTATTTTCGAGACGTTGCCGACAGATCGAACGACTCCTGCGCGGTGATACCGCGGGCACGCTCCAAGAGACACACAGCCAACCCAGAATGGTGATGCGAACCCGAAGCCAGGGGTCGGCTCTCCGCGTCATAAGTCAGGGCTTCAAAAGCCCTACATGACTATACAGCACCCGCCGCTCTGTTGTGGTGCGTACGGGTCCTCTCCTTTCGGCACCGGGCCCCAAACGTTAGGCACCATGTAGTCCCTGGTACTGTTGCAGTAGGCAATGATGCTGTCGTGTCCGAGTTAGCGGCCGTCATAAAGAACGAAGAATGAAAAGAACAACAGGGTTCTGCAATGTCGTCTTACCTCTTGGAAGCCCCACTCACGGGGATGCGTTCCCGGTCGAGGTCTTCGCGTAGTCGCGAGTTGAGCTCCGTCAGCCTGCGGAGCTTCAGATCGGCCATGCTCTGTTTGTTCTTCCTGATTTGCGATGGGTCGCCGCCATCGCGGGATGTGTACTGTGGCATAATGTGGGAAGAAATTGTGGCGGTTGGGGGTGGTGTCGATGGGAAATCGCGGTTCGCAACCGAAGTCGCTGGGGTGTCCTCGGGGTTCGACTGCGGCGGAGACGCACGCGGCGAAGTTCCTTCCTCAGAGACCCGGCGGAAAGGGTCGGTCGGCTGTTGCTGCAATCGGCTGGCGCCGCTGCTCTCGCCTGTGTGGGAATCGGGGGGCCGATAATCGCGACCGGGCGGCCGTTAACTCGTGATGATCGTACTGCTGAGCCATGGTGGTGTCAGTCAATGATCGCGCTGTCTTGTTGCTGCTTCTTCACAATTCAAACGTGCTCAACCCATCCTTCCTTTTCACACCGCCGATTCCTGCTCTCCCTCTGTCCGCTCGGGTTGTTGGCCAATTGGCTCGACGTGATTGCTCTCGCTGTCGGTCGCAGGGCACGCAGGTTGCACGGTTTGCTCCATGGCGCAACCACGGGAACGGCACAATCCAGGCACCATAAAATCAAAATCAAACACGCGAATGAACTTACCGAAAGGCAAAAGAGTGGATGCTGGAGGTCGCGAGTGACGACTGGCGACGAACTTCGAAGACGCTGCGATTGATGATTGATTGGTATGGAGGTGGATGTGAATACCAGAGGCTTCAACACTTGGATTGGGTGGACGGGATTGGCAGAGGCTCCTGGGAGCGAAGGGGAAAGCAGTTCAGGAGCGGGCGTTGCTGGTCTGTGCACCATGACCCGCCTAAGCCGGGCGAAAAGAAAATGAGCTGTCCCGAAATGGCTAGACTGGGCCCGCTAGAAACATACGGCCGGTTACACTGCGCTGGGTCTTGTCTCAATCCCGATCTGGCTCCCTGCCCGCGGAACAAAAAAAGGCTGGGCAGGCGTTGGAAACTTCGACGCGCGATCCCAGACGAGAGAAGAGAGGAGATTTAAAGGCCCGAGTCATCAAAACCTGGCGAAATCTTTCGGCCATCGCATCCGCCTTTCCGGCAATGAGAACTGCCTCAAGTAATACTGCATTGTATTTTATACCCCATTATTACCTCGATACAGGGATTATCTTGGCTGAGTCTCGAGCGCACGGTTGTCGGGAATCAGATCCTGAGCCTCTCACAGCGCGCCTGGGATTGGGGACTGTTGAAGAAATGGACGAAATATGTCGCAAAACATGTATAATCGCAAGGAGATGCATTTGGATTCAGTGTAGCGTGACAATAGGATATCCCCTGAGCACCCAGGTAGTCCTTTGGTATTTTGCACGGTCGTTGTTCAGCGATTGTCCTCGACCGAATCTTCTTGTCTTCCATCTGTGGCTAGTGTCCTAGTGCCCCACCATTCCATCACCCCCGGGCCCCCAGAACGCAGCCCCACCCCGCTCAGCAAACCCCTTTCACACTGCATCGCGAACTCAAGTCCAATTACACAACTCCAACAGTAAACAATGGGAATATTCAGTAATAGGCACTGCGTTCTCAAGCTTCTAATAACTCTGTGATATCACCCGTAAAAATAACTATAAAATAAATATTCATGATTGGTTGTCGTGCTGTGAGGGCCCTCATTCTCCAAATCACGTGATCTGTATTTTCCGCCCACACAATTTGCAAACCTGCGCCTGCCTGGGCCAGGGCTCGTCAACCCGTTCTCCACGAGGCGAAAAAAATCTCTGGACAGCGCCAGCCAAGTCGCCAGCAACCCCTCACGCTGCGTTGCGCTGCTCTTTTTTAAGACACCTTTTAAATCTCCTCGAGACCTGCCGCCGCGCAGAGGAGGTTGCCCATCATGGTAAGTCGTCCTTGGAATTGCACGATTGCATCTTAGGTTGGGCGGGGACCACCAACAGCGATGCGGATACAACCCCTCCCCGCCTCGGACCATCACCAACACCATCGCCGTCGGTTCGTCCGGCTTGAATCGCTGAGCGCCAACTAACCGTCCTACAGCCGCCCCCGCCGCATCAAAAACCCGAAAATGTCCTCAAGCGCGCCCACGAGCTCATCGGGGTCAACCAGGCCCCGGCCGCCCTGACTCTGCTGCACGAGCATATCACGTCAAAGCGTTCCCGCAATGTCCCCATCGCCTCGCTGGAGCCGGTTATGGTCCTGCTCGTTGAGCAGGCCGTTGAACAGAAGAAGGGGAAGCTCGCCAAAGACGCCCTTTACCAATACAAGAATATCGCCCAGAATACCAATGTTGGGACAATAGAGGTATGTAGATGTGGATGTGGCGTCGGGCATGTGCGCTTACTAACTGGCGATGTAGCTCGTTTTGAAGAAGTTCATCGAGTTGGCGGCCGAGAAGGTCACGGCTGCTCAACAAAAGGCGGACGAGGTCCAATCGAGCATCGAGGCCACCACTGGGTCGTCCAGCGTCGAAGACCTCGAGGCCAGCGAGACCCCGGAATCCATTCTCCTGGCCACCGTTTCTGGGGAACAGTCTAAGGACCGGACTGACCGCGCGATCGTTACCCCCTGGCTGAAGTTTTTGTGGGAGGCGTACCGGACCGTCCTGGACATTCTGCGCAACAATGCGCGCCTGGAGCTCCTGTACCAGAGCACTGCGATGCAAGCGTTCGACTTCTGCCTCAAGTATGCCCGCAAGACGGAATTCCGCCGCCTTTGTGAGCTCCTCCGCAACCATGTTCAGACCGCTGCCAAGTACTCGGCTCAGATGCATGCTATCAACTTGAACGACCCGGACACCCTTCAGCGCCACCTCGAGACTCGCTTCCAACAGCTGAACGTGGCTGTGGAGTTGGAACTCTGGCAGGAGGCTTTCCGCAGCGTTGAGGATATCCATACCTTGCTCAGCCTGAGCAAGCGCCCGGCCAAGAACATCATGATGGCCAACTACTACGAGAAGCTCACCCGCATTTTCCTTGTTGGCGAGAACTACTTATTCCACGCTGCCGCTTGGTCGCGTTACTACAACCTTCTGCGGCAGTCCGCCGCCATGCTCGCCACCGGCCAGAGCAAGAAGTCCGACAGCCCGCCCGTTAGTGAAGCCGACCTGCAAAAGGCTGCCACTTTCGTGGTCCTCTCGGCCTTGTCTATCCCGGTCATCAGCACATCCCGTTCGCGCGGTGCTATGGTCGACTTTGACGAGGCGCGCAAGAACAAGAATTCGCGTCTGACCCACCTTCTCGGCCTGTCGCAAGCACCCACCCGCTCCTCGCTCTTCCGCGATGTCCTGTCCAAGGCCCTTCTCCGCCGCGCCAGCCCCCAGATCCGAGACCTGTACAACATCCTCGAGGTCGACTTCCATCCTCTCTCCATCTGCCAAAAGATTTCCCCTATCCTCGCCCAGGTCGGCGCCGACGAAGAGATGCAAAAGTACATCCTTCCCCTGCAGCAGGTCATTCTCACTCGCCTGTTCCAGCAGCTATCCCAGGTGTACGAGACGGTCGATCTTGAGTTCGTTCAGAGCCTCGCGCAATTCCCTGAGCCGTTCCAGGTTACCCGCGGCACTATCGAGAAGTTCATCATGAACGGCAATAAGAAAGGTGACCTTGCCATCCGCATGGACCATGCCACCGGCGTCCTGAGCTTTGACGTCGATGTCTTCTCCTCGGCCAAGGCCGTCCACGCTGGCTCGGCAGCGGGCTCAGCTGAGAACGAGTCCGGCTCCGTTCAGCGTCTCCAGAGCACCCCGTCGCAGATTGTCCGTTCGCAGCTCACTCGCCTGGCCGAGGTCCTCTACACAACGTGCCGGTACATCGATCCTTCATTCAACGAGGCCCGGATCAACGCCCGTGATGCAGTTCTCGCGCGTGCCAAGGCTGGGGCTGAAAAGGAGCACCTTGAGATCTTGTCGAGGAAGGAGGTGATCCAGAAGCGCAAGGACAAGGCTTCGGAGATCCAGGCCCAGAAGGAGAAGGAGCTTGCTCGCAAGAAGATGCTCCAGGAGCAGGCCCTGCAGCAAGCCGAGGCTCAGCGGTTGGCTGAGGAGCAGAAGATCCGGGAGCAGAAGCGGATGGCCGCCGAGCGCGAAGAGATCAAGAAGAAGGAAGTCGAGGGTATGCTCAAGGATATGAAGCTCGACGACGTCGAGCTGGAGGATCTGGACAACCTCGACAGCAATAAGATTCGCATGATCAAGTTGCAACAGCTCGAGCGGGAGAAGAACACCATCGCCGAGAAGCTACGCGTCACTGGCAAGCGCCTCGACCATCTGGAGCGTGCCTTCAGGAAGGAGGAAGCTAAGAAACTCCCCGAAGACTACGCCAAGCAGCGCGAACGTGATATTGCTGCCTACGAGCTGATCAAGGCCCAGACGCTCAAGGAGGCGGAGTTGAAGCACAAGGAGGACGTGGAGTTGAAGCACCGTCTGACCCGTCTGATGCCGTTTTACGAGTCCTTCCGGGCTGACCTGCACGAGCGCCGTCGCGACATGTTCGAGAAGCGCCGCCGTGATGCCGAGCGCGAGCTTGAGAAGCAGGTCACCCTCCGGCGGAAGGAGTACCGCGAGCGCAAGCTGCGCGAGAAGCGGGAGCGCGAAGAAAAGGAGCGCGCTCTCCGGGAAGCTGAGGAGCGTGCCGAGAGGGAGAAGGAGGAGGAGAAGCAGCGACAGGAGGCTCGCAAGGAGGAGCTGGCCAGGCTCAGGGAGGAGCGCGAAAAGGAGCGCGAACGGGCCAAGGAAGCGCAGGCTCGCCAGCAACAGCGCGAGGAGGAGGCCATGGCCCGTCGCAGGGCCGAGAAGGCTGCCGCCGCGGCAGTACCTATTCGGGAGCGCGAACCTTTCGCCGCTACCGGCTCCGGACCCCGCCTGCCACTTGCCGGGACTAAATCCACCTGGAGAGAGCGCGAGGCGGCCAAGGCTGCTGGCGGTGGCGCGCCATCAGATTCTGGCCCACCTCCGGCACGGGCTGCCCCGCCCCCAATCGAGCGCACCGACTCCAGAGACAGGCCCGCTGCTGGTCCTCCCCGTCTGGCTCTCGCTGGCAACAAACCCAGCTGGCGTGAGCGGGAGGCGGCTAAAAACGCCGCCGGAGGTGCCCCGCCCCCCGAACGTAGTGGCCCGCCCCCCAGGGTCGCGTCCGGCCGTGGTGAGCCGATGGACCGGGCAGGCTCCGGCCGCGGCGGTGACCGGGATGCCAGGGACAACAACGGTCCTGCACCGGAGCCGCTCAAGGCCTCGGGCGGGCCTGGTAAGTATGTACCTAAGTTCCGCAGGGAGGGTTAAGTGCTGGGAGGTGAACGTAGGTAGATGGAGCGAGGGGAAGATGAAAACATGGTTGGGTGGAAGGGGGGAGGGTACGAATCATGCCATTTCCTTTCCATTCGTTGACGAGACGTATCACACACGCACAACACACCGGAGTTTTTCTCTTTTCGGAGGGGGGGCTTCTTCTTTCTCTCGCCCTACGATATCACTGGGCATCTCTAGTCTGTGTAGAGTAGCATCACGGCTGTCACGTCCCGTTTGCGTCCCGAGTTGAGCCCAGTCTTTGACGGTATTGTGGAAGTTCACGTTAATTGGGAAGCATGGGACTGGCTGGGAGGCTGGAGAGGGTGGATGGGCTGTTGAGAATGGAAAAGTGGTTCTTTCTAACCTATACTGAATCTGCCATGCATACATGGTTCCGTGAGCCGGCATCCATACCTAACTACCTTAACGTACTCCTGTCATGCCCTGTCCGAATTGAAGCCATGTCACCTGCGCGGGAAGCGATCGATCTAGATGGGCTTGGCCCGCAGAAGACGTGAGAAGCTGAAAAGCTGCGATGGGATGGGGGGAGCTGCAGCGGAAGAAGCAGTGCCGGCATAAAAATTTAAAAATAAATAAAAGCCTCAAGAGAACGGAGGAGACACAATTGGAGAGGTGGAGAGGTATGGGCATGTATGTACACTACACATTGGTTCTGAGAAGGAGAGCTGAGTCGAGAGCGAGAGCTGCCATGCATGCAGCCTCCGGCATTACTCTGCCGACTGTGACGGTGACGGTGACGCTGATACTGACGGTGACGGTGACGGGGGAGCTAACCAAACCGACGATGTACTAAACTTAACCCGACCGGTGGGAGGTTTGCTTGCGAGGGAAGGGATCGGCGCTCCCAGGGGGGGATATCGGCGGCAGCGTCCGAGCGGATCGCTCGGAGGTTTTTGTTAGCTAGATACGAAGGATCTAGGGCTCTCTCTGACAGGCCGCGGTGGGTTTGGATCTGGGTTTGGAGGGGCTTGAACTGGGTTGGGTTGGGTTAGAGTTTCCGTGGGTGGAGTTGAGGGTGGAGAGAGGTTATCGGGATCTGGGAGTTTTGCTCCGGCACTTGACTTGTCTGAGGTCCTTTTTTTTCCCCTACCCCTTCGGAATTCGGATATTCGAGGGCTTGGACGGTGGAGAGGGAGGTTGGGGGCTGGTCCTTGTTCTTTTTTGGCTGACTCTGTCCTGTTTGCATCGAGCCAAGGACGGCTTGTTTTTCTTCTTTTTTTGGCTGTTGTGCTTGTTGCAGGGGGTTCGACTCGAGCAGGGGAGGGACTCTTCTCTCTGTTGTTTCTCGATGCAACCCTGGGCTTGTGTGTTTCTGTCTCTTGCCAAACGCGGCTCGCGGATGACAACATGCATTTCGACTCAACAGGACCTCACCTGAAATCAGCTGATCCTTGTTGGAATGCAAATGTAAATATTTGCTGCGCTCTGTCGGAAGAAGAAAAGCTCGTATGCACGGTCATACGCCGCGAGGCTGCGGCTGGGGTGCAGCTGCATCTGTGAGGTGAAGTGTCCTTGGAACGATGAAACCTCGGGGTATCGGGTGACGGGTGCAGCTGTGGTTGGCAGTATGGAGGTAGGTAGCAGTTCAGGCTCGGTACTGCGAGTCATGGAGCAAACAGGTACGGGCAGGGGAAGGGGAAGGCTTGCGATAGGAGATCGGGAGCTCAGATGAAGGAGGGGGTGGCTTGGGTGGAGGACTGTCATAGGGGCAAGGATAGGTACCGAGGGATGGAGGCTGCAAGATCGAAAAAAATCTGATGAGTGCGGAGAAGAAGGCGATGGACGGCCTTGCTCAGCTGAGGAGCCTCGTTCGTTGCGGGCTTCTTTCGGCGGGTAACATTCACTCAGCCCTAGCGCCAATAGTCTAGACTCGGTATATGCAATGCAGGTGCATCGGGGGCCCAAACACCTTTCTCGCGAGTCGTGAGAGTGGAATTGTGGAAACATCAAGACGAGAGACCGGAGCTGTTTGCGCAACAAAGTCATAACGCCGTCTTGACCCTGCGTTGTTTGTGATGGACTCATGGAGACGCGTTTTCCCAAAGCCCGGGTTTGTTGCAGCTTCGGGTGTCACGGTCACACTGATATCCGGCAGCGTTGTGACCTAACGGGAAATTGGGCGCCTGCAGCCGGCAGAGCTACTGACTGGCTCGCTGCAGGGCAATATCACGGCGTCGTAGCGAAACGCAAGAAGCATGCCGTCCTACCTCACGGGAGACTGGGTCGACACGAGCGGGCGTAACGCAGCCTGCCGGTTTTCTGACAGGTGAGTGAGGGCAATAATCATGCAAACGGCCTCAATATTGTCTGCGCGCGCCTCCTCGTGGCAGCACTGGCTGGCGGTGCCTAAAAATAAGGGGCAAAAGCAAGCATCGGGATGTTGAAGGTGCCGCAAACCCGGACTACCGGGTCAAACACACCATACACAACAGTATGTAGTTAACTGGGAGGAGCCGACAACCCGAGTGCACCACATACGAATACATATGTAGTTACCGAACCAAGCGAGCACATTCTTTTAAACTTTGAAGAGGTCAAGGCGAGGAGGACTGGGTATCGGCATTGGTAGGTATGAAAAAAGACGGGTCCAAGCAAGTCAGATTTCACTTCACGGTGTGATAAATGATAAATCGACAGCGAGCAGGAGGCACAGTCAGGATGAGAGAGAGAAAGGAGACAAGTGACAGGTCAGGAAATCAGGGTCCAAGCTGGATAGGACCCACCAGATCCGGCTGGGCGAGGGCCAGACCCAGGCCCTCGCCAGCGCTAGTGCAGGTACGCAGCGATCCGCCAACGAAAGGGCGACCATGGTCGTTCTCGCTTCCCGTTTTGGTTTGTGGGCGGACCCTGCCGAGCCCTGCCCAGTTCTGATCGTTTTTCCTTTCTCCATCTCATCTCCACTTGGGCCCGATGCAGCTGCACGCACCGAATCCCCCGACTCCCGAGCTGAACTTCAAGGCGAGAGCATCCATGGCGAACAAACGGGCTGTGCTGTGTTTCACGACATGAGAACGCTAACTTCAGAAGCGCTGTGGAGAGTCTGTGAGCCGTGATCGGGGCCACCGGAAGCTAGGGTCATCCCAGTCTAAACTCGCTCGTTTTTACTCAACTCATCGTGGACCTTGACGCCGACTTTCGACGACGGAATTCGCGGCACTTCAGCGCCCCAGCTCTCTGCAGTCGTCCGTGCGAGCACTCACCTTGGCACACACGGGCGTCTACCAAAAACGGCTGTTGTGTGGACGCCGCCATGTTCCCGCATCACCAGACTGGCTTGGATCTGGGCCCACGCTTCTCTGCGTCGACGCAAATGAGTGCCCAGCCCCATCGGAGCATCCACTGGCCATGCCGAACCCTAGTCCAATATTCTAGCGTAGTCTAACTCTGTACGTACTGTGTGTATGGTTGCTTTCTCGTCCTGCGTGTGATGAATCGATGGACGCATAAAGATATCGTGTTTCCCGGACTCTGGAAATTCCATTCTCCCCTTTCTCCAGGGTCCTCCTCCGACACCACAAAACAAACGAAGATCTTTCTAGATCTTGCCTCGTCGGTCCATTCGTTTACTACTACCCCAATCCTTCGACTGCACTGTAGCCCCGGCTCCAGCCAGACATTCGTTCTCCCTCTCCCAGCATGGCCGCCTTCAAGATGGCCGCCGCTATGGCGGCAGTGGCTCTGGTCGGACACGTCCAGGCCACCGAGGTCCCCCTACCCCCCTGCCTCGACCCCTTCCAGCCTTTTGTCTACTCGGGCTGCTTCCAGGAGACGAGCAACACGCAGCTCCTGCCCTACCGCAGCCTCTCCCCTCCCGATGACATGACCGTCGAGAAGTGTGTTGCCGAGTGCAAGGGCAACGGCTATCGCTATGCCGGCCTCGTCTACTACGGCGTGTGCTATTGTGGCCAGACCGTCAACGGTCCTCACGCCGAGGAGTCCCAGTGCAACCTCCCCTGCAAGGGCAACGAGACCCAGACCTGCGGTGGCAACGGCATATTCTCCGTCTACTCGGACCCCACCTTCGAGCCCATCGAGGACGTGACAATCGAGGACTACGACAACCTCGGCTGCTGGACCGACGACTCCAGCATGGGCCGTGCCCTGACCTACCGCCAGGACCAGGTTGACGGTGCTACCTTGACCACCGAGAAGTGTCTGCAGGCCTGCCGTGACGGCGGCTTCCCCTTTGCCGGTACCGAATTTGGTGGTAAGTGATGGCAGTTGTTGACCTCGGCCTCGGATTCATCTCTAACACGTGAGCAGGCGAATGCTACTGTGGTGTTGTGATTGGCAACGACACGTATGCGGCTCCCGCCGACGAGTGCAACATGCCCTGCAACGGCAACTCGGGCCAGTCTTGCGGTGGCCGTGGACGCCTGAACCTGTACGTCGCCGATGAGCTGCAGTCGCTCGAGCCCTGCGGTTACCAGCCGCCCGTCTCCAGCAGCAGCACGCTGCCGCCCGCCTCGTCAACCGCCCCTCCCGAGACCTCCACCGTCCCGCCGACCAGCACCACCCCGATCACCTCGACCACGACCACGAGCAGCTCCGCCTGCGTGAGCACCACCGTCGTGCCGCCCACCTGTGAGTACAAGTGCGGCAAGTGGTGCTCGTCGCCGCTGCCCGACTGGGACGATGTCAAGTCGTGCAAGGCTGCGTGGTCCCACTGCGCGATCCAGGTCGCCTCGTGCTTCAAGCACGCCGGCTGGCCCGAGGTCCTCAACTGCTTCGACTTTGGCGAGTGGTGTGCCGACGTCAACAAGTACTGCGACAGCAAGCCGCGCGGCGGCTGCCGCAAGGGCGACTTCTGGGGCCAGAAGCCCCCCAAGGGCGGCTCCAACCCCCCCAAGACCGTCACCGTCACCACCACCTGCGCGCCCACCGCGACCGTGACCAAGCCCACCACCCCCTCCTCCACCGTCACCCGGTGCCCCATCCCGACCCCCACCAACATCTGCATCCAACCCAAGAGCCTCCTCTTCGGCTACGGCCCGGGCAAGCCCGTCGGCGGCATCGAGATGCCCGTGGTGACGTGCAACGACCTGGCCGAGGACTGGCCCAACTACCCGTTCAAGCAGTACACAGACCTGGACAGCCGCAAGTGCCGCAAGTACCAGCGCAACAAGTGCCCGAGCGCGTGCGCCGACGCCTGCAAGGAGCAGTACGACGACTGCGTCGCCGTCTACGCCGAGGGCTGCCGGACCAAGCCCAGCAGGCCCCGCGACGCCAACTACTTCGAGTTCCACAGCAGCGTCGAGAAGCGCACCTTTGGCTGGTTCGACAACTACGCCGGCGCCATCGTCAAATGCAAGGCCCAGTACAGCGACTGCCTGAGCACCAACAGGGGTGTTACCGGTGCCGGGAAGTGCCCCAAGTTTGGGGGGTGGTAGATTCGAGGTAATGAAGAAGGGATTATGAGTGGAATGAGGGATGGGGGATGAAAAGCAGAGGCGTTGAAATGGATTGATGAAAACATAGCTTCTTACGCTCCTTAGCATACCAGTAAATATTAATACTTAGTACCTGTACCACCCTCTCGTTCCTTGTGCTTGTACGACATTTCTTTTCTGCGTAAAAAGAAAAAAAAAAAGGTAGCATTCCCGAACGTCACCAAACCAACCAAACCCGCTTCTTCTAGCATTTGCCCCTTGAGGACAATGTCGACGAGGACACTGCCTCATCCCGAAGCCCGATAGTTTCCCCGCCTAGTCCCGCGACGTCGTTGGCAAATTTGGTCACCGCTCGACCACTTCTCGAGCGGCAGCCCAAGGAGCCCCCCTCCCCTTCGCCCCGCGGATAGGGTAGCCCTATGGAGGGCAAAGGGGTGGCTCTCTGGGCGAGGGGGGAGAGACATGGTCGATGCCCTAGTGGGACGAGGAGGGTTCTAGGGAAACGGAGGAGACGGAGGGTTCTAGGGAAAAAGGGGGACGGAGGGCTCTAGGAAATAAGGGAGGCGGAGGGTTCTAGAAGAAACAGGAGACGGAGGGTTCTAGGAACTAAAGGAGGCGGAGGTTCTAGGAAGAAAAGGGGAAGGGAGGGTCCAGTAGAAGATGGGATACGAAAAGAGGGCGTATGAGGGCGCCGTGGGTGGATTAGAAGAGGTCCTAGCCCAATACGTTGAAATATTTCTTCATTGACCCAGCTTATCCCTGGGTAGAGCCCGGGGAATTCTCGGCAGACCCGCCACCTAGTACAGAGAAGCTGCTCTCCCGGAGCGGAAGGGGGGTGAAGATGGAGAGGAGAACGGCGAATAAGGCAGAAAGGCTGGACCAGCAGCAACAGCTCATCAAATGGAAGTTACACTAAATCACGAAACCCGGAAACCTTGTGTTGACTTTGACAATTGTTCACTCAATCCTACATTCCAGATATTCAGCCCGGCCTTTGGCGGAGAGCAAGTCCTGGGCCAAGGAAGATAAGAGGAGGGAGGGAATTCCAAATATAATGTAATATTTTAACAAAAATGAAAAAGTCCTGAGGGGAATAATCTTGAAATCAACAAAAGAATGGGCGACCCCGGAATCGAACCGGGGTTTCTTCGGTTTTGTATGTGGAACAAGCCACAACGAAACGTCCTGACCACTAGACTAGTCACCCTGTGTTGATGGATGATGAGATGCTGTGGAATTTGAGGCTTTTGTGTGGGCTAGGGAGTGGCAGTGAGTGGCAGTGAGTGGGTGTGTGAGTGGGTTGTATGCAGTTGAGCTCCGCTTGGCAGTGGATTGCCCCTTGACCTGCATGAGCCGGCGGCATTTGGGTGGCTAAGCAGACGTAGCAGTGGTTTGGAGTTGTGGTGGCATTACTGTGTAGAGGTACATACTTCCATAGATACCATAGTACCATGCTCTAGCACCATGGAATGTGACTTGTTGGTATACGGGATTCGGGCTATGACGGCCATGTGATATTCCATTTCCTATCACCACTTTGGGAATTATTTCCGTTGCCAGAGCTACACTACACCCACCCATGCATACTCAACTTTAAGCTCAACCCCATTACCCAGCAGGAAGCGGCGCGCAGGTGGACTCGGCAGGGTTCCGGGGGAAGGTCTGAGCAAAATGGCATGGCCGCCTTCCATCGTGGAATTACCACAGTTTCTCGAAAATAACAAACAAGCCCCAACGCCCGCGCTAATGCAATTATGTCTTTTTTTTTTCTCAAAAAGATCCTGACTCACTGGAGAAGCTCCTCACAACTCCAGTCCTCGTAGCTAACATCAACGTGTTAGTGGCCGGCTGAGAGATGGCCATGGAAAGCAGCACTTACTATCCATCCGGCAGGTACCGACGCACGATGAGGGGAATCTTTTTCTCCCTCAGCTCCTTGATGGCAATCTGCAATGGATCCGTCTCGCCCTCGAGGTCGACCAATACGGGCGCGTTCATGCTGTGATTTCAATCAGCACACCGGCCCGTCCTTCCATCCCTCGCAACGCGTAACCCACCTAATCTGCAGCGCCCTAGTCCCCAGAATGCGCGCCTTCTCGTATTTGGTCATAAAGGGCGTGGTTGTACGTTGGTCGTTGGGGATCTTCTTATCCTTGTGCGACTTGTCGTTGCCCTTGCCGTGATTAGCGGCCGCGTTGGGATCCCCCGACGCGACGACATGATCGGCATCCTGGTTCTCGCCCTCAAGCTCCGGTGCACGCGCAGCATCGTCTTCCTCGGCCGGTTCCGGCTCGGGCTCGTAGTACTCATCGGGGTCCTCGTCGAAGGCGGGCTCGTCGTTGCTAGGCGAAGAGGGAGAGGTTAGAGGGGCTCGCGATAAAGACGCGGCAGTCCGATGCGCTTACAGAGGCTCGCGATCGTCGTCACCACCGCTGTAGTCGGACATGTTGATAGATTTGTGAAAAAAAAAAAAAAAAACGGATTGATGAAGGACGTGAATGTGTTGAGTCGGGTGCGAGTTACAATGTCGAGGGAAGGTGGTTTGTTGATGTTGATGAAAGAAGCGGCTGCGAATGGCAAAGAGCGGCCGATGGAGGGACAGTGAAAAATTTGAGTGGGGCACCTCTTCCACTTCAGTCGAGGTTGCTTTGCAGGTGAGTGGCGTTCGCCGCACACAGTGTGAGTGCGTTAAGCTCAATTGCCTGCCGGGAACTGCTTGGACGCACACCCACCCACAAAAAAAGTTGGGGAATTTTGAAGCTCTGGAACTTGGAACTTTTGAACTGCAATTGCAACTTCCACCGCTTCATGCACAATCCAAGCTCGGGCTGATGCTCCCCTCCGCTAGAGCCATGAAGCGGAAAGCAACAGCGGAGGGTGGAGGGCCATCCGGTCTGTCCAAACGGCAACAGGTCCAGTCACCACAGGGGACCGACACCGAGTTTCTCCCTCCCGCATCAGCCGACACAACTATCTTGACCCTGGACGGCAACGACAACGACCAAGGCCAAGACTACTACAACGACAATGATAACAACAACGACAACGACAACACCACCACCACCACTACTACCACATCCGACCCCCACCAACCCCTCACCCCAACAGCAACCTCCATCCCCAGCACCCCTTCCCCGCCGCGCCCGCAAGTTCCCCTCCGACCTCAAAACCATCCCCTGCACTTACCCAGGGCTGCCCCAAGACCTTTCAACCGGCCACCGCGGCTGGGCCGCTCCACTCCTGCTCCCACACTCAACGAACGGACGGCACCGGTGCGCCTACGAAAGGGTGCGGCAAGACCTACCATGAAGGAGGAAAGCACCTGGCGCAGCACATCAAGGGCTCGCACACCCCACGAGAAGAAGTACGCCTGCGCCGAGCCCGACTGCGAGCAAGTCCTTCGTGACCGCCACCCGCCTGCGCCGACACGCCGCCATCCACGAGGGCGCCGAGCGCTTCCGCTGTCGGGGCTACGAGGGCTGCAGTCTGAGCTTCCGCAAGCATCAGACCCTGCAGCGCCATGTGCGTGTGGCGCATCTGGGTACCGCCGCGTTTGTGTGCACCGCGGCGGAGGATTGTGAGGCGGGGTTTGATACCGCCGGCGCGCTGCGGAGGCATGTTGAGAGGGAGCATGGGGAGCTTAGGTTTTGGTGTGAGGAGTGCGCTGCTGGTGGTGGTGATGAGGAGGAGGGGGATGGTCGTAAGGTTGGGTTTAGGACGCTGTTGATGCTGCAGACGCATATGCGCAAGGAGCACGTCGATTGCGTGTTTTGTGACGTCAAGTGTGGGAGTCAGGCTGACCTCGAGAGGCATGTGGATATGTACCACTCTGGCACGACGGTGGAGGATAGGAAAACGGTCGAGTGCCCGTGGGACGGGTGCGGGAAGAAGTTTACGAGGGTGCCGAACCTGAACACGCATATCCGGTCGGCACACGAGGGGTTTCGGTTCGTTTGCGGGCAGGTGGATACCTACCAGGTCGAGGACATTGCCGACTGGAACTGGCAGGAGGAAGGGTGCGGGCAGGCCTTCATCAGCAAGATGAAGATGGAGGAGCACGTACGCTACGTGCACCTGGGCAGGAAGCGGCCGCCCAAGCTGTACACGGTCAAGTCGGCGCTGCCGGGCGATGAGGATGAGATGTCTGCTGCCTTGCCGACGCGGACGATCCCCTGCTCTGTCGAAGAGTGCGAGACCATGTTTATCCGAGCATGCCGACCTGGACAAGCATCTGCAGAAGCATCACCCCAAACTGCAAGAAGAATGCCATCGACCCGCGCCTGCAGGAGAGCAGCCGGAAACGACGAGCCGTTTTGGGTTGAGTCGGTTATCCCTGCTGTAGCCGAACCGAGTTTCGACGCGGAATGGACTGAGATGCGCAGGCTGATCGACTTGGACGCGCTAGTGGACGCGAAAGAGTAGAATGAAAAGTGATGTTTTTGAGATGCATGGCTATGCAGGAGTACATATACCCTTTGCTGTTTTTGTTGCTTGCTATGGGATGTCAAAATATCGGAGGGCCAGAGGTCGATGAGCTGGAGGTTAAAAGCAACGCTGTTATGTTATGTTATGCTACAGAAGTGCGAGGGACAACGCCAGGTATCAATACAATATGAGAATTTCTTTGTCCAAACATTTCCTTCTTAACAACCATTCCATCCTAGCATAACCGCCATCCCACCCCCCAACTGAACAACCAAAACCAACCAACTCTCCCTTCCCATCTCACCATACTAACTAACTAGCAACCCCCTAGAAACTCAACGCCCCTTGCCGCGCGACCTAGTCCCAGGCCCAGACCAACCCCAACGTCCATCCCAACCACCACCACTCGCACCACCACCACCACTACCACCGCCAACACCATCACCACCTCCGCCACCGCACAACCCACACCCGCTACAATACCCCAGCGTCTGCAACATATGTGTGTGCCGCGCCGCCGCCGTCTGCATATCCTGCCTCAGGGCGGCCGCACGCAGCCGGGCCTCGCGGAGCTGCGCTTGGTATTGTTGTTGGAGGTGGAGCTCTTGCGCGTGGAGGTCCGCTTCGGCGGCTGGGGTTGCGGCTGCTGCTTCGGCGGCGGCGGTGGTGGTGGCTGCTGTGGCGGTGGTTGCTGGGTGGTGGGGATGGGGGTGATGTAGGTGTGGGTAGTGGTGGTGTGGGAGGGGGAGGGGGAGGGGGAGGCTGTGAGTGTGGGGGGGCGGGAGGGTGGCGGGGAGGGGGAGGGTAGGGTTGGGATTGGGGTTGAAAGGGGGATGTTGCGGCGGCGGGAAGATGCGGATGTGGTTGGGGTTGTAGGGGGGAGGGGTTCGGCTTGCTGGGGGGGTGTTGTCGATGTGGTGGAAATCGAAGAAAGGGTCGACGGGGCGGACGGGATGGCGTGGGGCGATGCGGTGGTCGGAATTTCCCTGGTTGATGGGGTTGGTGCCGTGGCTGTAAAGGGGGGCTACTCTTTGTAAGGTCGAGCAGGAAACGAACTAAGGGGCTGGGGATGGAGAGGCGCCGCGATGGGTTCATGCCTCGGTCGGCTGGTGAGAATGAGAAAATCCCTTGTGTCGTCGTAGTCCGGCGTTATGTTGATGGCCGTCACCACGGCGGGGGGTAGGTGGCCGGGGGGTGCGTTGTCAGGAGGTGGGTAGTGTATGAATTCGTCGAAGTCGAAGTCGAATTCATCATCCATGTACCTCTGCTCGTTTTCCGCTTCGTTGTTTTCTGGTCTCGCCTGGCCACCGTTCCCCCCCTCTGCTTGACCACCCTCGGCCTCTTTGCCCTCTTCGTCCCTTCCGCCCTCGCCATGCTTATCAGCGTGTTCTTGCGCATCAGCCCACGCCTCTTCCTCAGATGAGTCCGATTCCGAGTCACTGTCCGTCTCAAGGTCGGGGACGGGGTCGGGCCTAGGTCTGCTCTCAGGATGACGCCTTGGATCGGTGGTGCTGTCTTCAGCCCCTGTTGCCGCTTCGTGAAGATTCTCCCTTTGGGACGGCTGGCGGTAGCCGGGGCTGTTTTTCGCTCTGGCTGGCGGGCGGGAGGTGGTCGGCCGGGGGGTGCCGGGGCCGGGCTATCATCACCAGGGGTTGTGGTCAGCATACTGGCTTTGTCATAAGATGAGATAGTTGAGAGCTCTTACTTTGCTCGCGTTAGAAGACATGATGGATTTGCAGAATATGTCTGATAGCTGCTCTAGTGGGTGTGGAGGAAGAATACCGACCGTTCGTTATCCAAGAGGGTTGACATGACCCCTTTTTATACTTTTAACATGTCCCTTAGTCATACAGATTAACGCACTCTTGTGCTCTCCGATACACCACAGACACGAGGCAACAGTCATGTCAGGAGGTGAAGTTTCACTCCTCGGAGCAGGACCTACAGCGCACATCAAGGCTAGGAGAACACGTTCAGGGGTTACTATCCTAATCATTTCATCACCGGAGAGTCAACATCCTAGAACAAACGGATGCCGTCGCGCTGTCGGTTTACTTCCCGCTAACCTGCATATGTGTGTACAATCCAACCCAACTCTCATACATTTGTTGTTACAGTTCCACCACCTACGCGGGCCAACGAATAAGATGACTCCTGGTCTCGGAGACCGGAGCAAACACAGAAACATATAAGCCCCTCCTCCTCCAGATATACCGTCCAACCGGTTCGGTGTGGCTCTTTGTTGGCTGTGTTATCCCACGCCGATGCGGCGTATTCCTTGTGGATCGGCCCCTGCCCAAACCCAAAATGCAACGTGTATGGCATGCACGTGGACAGACCGATGGTGGCCGGTGGGTGTTTCGGTAGCCGCGACTTTAGCGTTTGGGCCTCAAACATACCCTCGACAATACACCATCATCATCAACTCCGCCAGACTCATCACCCAAAACAAACACAACACACTATCACAGCTTACTATCCCTCCCATCCGCCCCCAGCGCCCCACTCATCATATACATCTCCCTCCTGCGGCTGCTGCTGCTGCTGTAGCACCCCCCCAACCGCACCTCCCAAACAAGACCGGCTCCCTCCCGCCCTTGGGCCCCCAACACGCGGCGGCTATCGCCGCCCTCTCAAATACAATCTACACACTGACAAACCCGTCCCAGAAGCGACTCCGCCCGCCCTCCATCGACCTTGTCCCTCACCACCTCAATTTTCGAGGCCGCGACCAGAGACCCTCCACTCCTCCAAAATACTTACTCTCACAACGAGGGGCGTATCCCTCCGCTTCAGCAACCAACGATGGTCTGCTCCGACTGGTCCTCCTACTCACCGACGATCTTCTCCCTCCGACAAACCGACTAGCCACCATACCAGCATAGCCCCACTCTAGACCCAAGCAACTCCAACAACAACTCCGACCCAGGACTACTTGC